ATTGCCTTGTAGTCTGCGGTGAGTCGAGAAGAAGGCAAGTAATCTGCGAGAGTGCCGTGAAGCAGAGGCAAGCAGTAAGACTCAGAGCCATGCTGAACACTGTAGCGCAGAGTGTAGCTTGAAGGAACAGGAAGCATTATTATTCCAGTGCTGCGATGAACCTTGTGAAGCTAGATGGCTTGCAGGATATGAAGACTGCAGACGATATCTGCTCGGGAGCGAATGGGTGGGGTATTTTATGACGATGATGATGCTTGAAATTTCCGAAGGTTGTTGGTTGCGTGTTCAGATCACGCCGGCGTCACTATTGTGGCCATGGAAGGAAAAAGGGAGATCTCCCGCCGGGCAAAGTGTTCTGCCCGGGGTTGTGGCGCGACGACAGCGTTGCTACACCTTTAAGGCAAGCTGTAACAAACTCATCGGAGCACGAAACCCTTTGGACTAATTCCTTAAAAAATATGAAGAAATGAGATTTATTAATAAAGGGGGCAAGGAGTGTATTGTGTCCTCTAAAAAAATTATGTTGTGACATTAAAAAGTTTAATTAGCGCTTCTTTAAAGAAGCGTTTAAAAATTATGCACCCAAGTTACTTAAATTCTGACACAATTTAAAACTTTTTTGATCAAGTGCGGGCATATAGTTTAAGAAGCAATGACCCAAATTGTCAAACATTTAAAAATATATTTCGCTCCTTGTTAGTTAGCAGATTTATTAATTTCCATTCAGAAAGTTATAATTGTTAGAAGACGTTGCGAGAACAAATAATAAAATTAAAAAAGTATTAGAGGCACCACAAGTGTTTTGCACACAAAACCCAGATATCTCTGTCAACCTCTAAAGTAATAATCTCTCCCCAAGACATGGAAAATATTCAAAAATAAGCTCGAAAGAAAGACTCGGTGTACGCGTGTGCACGATGCATATAACGCGGGAAGGGTTGTGAAAAAACGTTTTAAAATAATTAACTGTAATAATTATATAAAAGGTTTAACTTAAAATAATGAGTCGTCAGTTCACCTATGGATTTCTCACAGAGAGTACAGATACTTAAAATAAAAACAAAAATCAACGTATCCCTCAGAATATGCAGTATTATTTGGAAGTGAAACCAAATTCTTACGAAATTTCAAAAAAAAAGCAAATGGAAATTGAATCCAAATATTCGTTTGATTTCTTAACATGCCGGAGTCATAAACAAGCTCTTCTAGAATATTTTGTCTCAATAACGATAAAATAATGTATATGGAACTGGTGTAACGTAGTTATTAAAATCTAAAAAGAATTTGATACTGCGAGATTAAAATAACGTAACCAATTGCCGCAAATGCTAGACAAAGCTTATAAATAATTTCAAAAGAAAAAAAAATAAAAACTTTAATAACGAATAGTTCTAAAGATTTTAAAATTGTCACTTTTTAATGATGAATAGCTGTTAAGTGAACGTAATTAGGCTTTATCAATAGTGTACTTTTGTCTCATACCTACAAAATTTAAAAGTAACGAAAATAGGCTTTATGAATAATGTACTTTTGCTAATACCTCAAAATTAGAACAAATGTCAAACTAAACTACCGGTTCCGTATTGGCCGGTTTACATTATTCCAGTACAGCGATCCAGTCCAGTACTGGATTGCTTACTGGAAAAATGTAAACCGGCACTGGAATAAACTGAATCCAGTAAGCATTCCAGTCCAGTAACTGGATTCACGGTCTACTTTTGAATCCAATGCGATCAATCCAGTGCAAATGAAATAATATAGACGGCCAATCCAGTGCTATTCCAGTGCTGACAAAGTACACACGTGTTGGTTGTTTTTGCGGACTTTTTTTTGCGAAGAAAAAGGATTTGACAATGGTGAAGAAGTTATCTGAAGACGAAACTGTAAAGTTTGTCACTATATACAGAGAAAATCCGTGTTTATGGGATAAACATCAGAACATTATAAAAACAAAGCTATGCGCCAAACTGCTTTGCAAAATCTGTGCATGGTATGGAAATTGAAGGATTCACATTGAAAGATGTGAAAAACAAAATAAAAAGTATTCGTTCGACATACTACCTTGAACTAGACAAGATTAAGAAGTCATCCACATCTGGTGCTAGTGGCAATGTTTATCAAACCAAAGTTAAATGGTTCGCCGAAATCAATTCAACCAACCTCGGCACATCCCGATGAGGAGGTGGAGGAAATGTATGAGGATATTTCCAGAGCCATGCATTCCTCCAAAACCCACTACACGGTGTTGATGGGAGACTTCAAAGCTAAACTAGGCACAAGAGAAAGCGGTAAGCTGAAGGTAGGGAAATTTGGAGCAGGGCAACGGAACCGAAGGGGCCAGCAGCTCGCCGACTTTATGAAGAAAGAGGGGCTCTTTATGATGAACACTTTCTTCCAGAAGCGGCCCCACAGAAAGTGGACCTGGTCGAGCCCCGACCCCGGAGACTGAGTGTGGCAACATCGTTTCCGGGACACCTGAGATTCTGAGTGAGATTGAGTGGTTCTATGGGCAGCTGTACACATCATCGTTGGAGCCACACGCAAGTGTGAGTAACGATCCAAGAGCAAGTCTTATCCGACACTATTCCGATGATATCCCGGACGTCAGTCTGAGCGAGATTAGAATGGCTCTCCACCACCTTAAAAACGGCAAGGCCCCGGGCGAGGATGGAATTACAGCGAAGCTTCTAAAAGCGGGTGGAACACCGGTACTTGAAGTCCTTAAGAAGCTCTTCAATTCAGTCCTCCATGATGGCACTACTCCGGAGGCGTGGAGCAGAAGTGCGGTGGTCTTGTTCTTTAAGAAAGGCAACAACGCTCTCTTGAAGAACTACAGACCGATTTCCCTTCTGAGCCGCGTCTACTTGCTGTTTTCGAGAGTCATTACGAATCGTCTCGCACGCAGACTCGACGACTTCCAGCCTCCCGACGGTTTCCGAAAAGGCTGCAGTACCATAAACCACATACATATCCTGCGGCAGATTGTACAGAAGACCGAAGAGTACAATCTGTCACTTTGCCTGGCATATGTGGACTATGAGAAAACCTTTGATTTCGTCGAAATTTGGGCGGTGCTACAATCCCTTCAGCGGTGCCAAGTTGACTGTCGGTATATCGAAGTTCTGAAGTGTTTGTACAGTAGGGCTACGATGGCTATCCGAGTGCAGAACCGGAGTTCGAAACCTATCCAACTGCAGAGAGGTGTAAGACAGGGTGATGTTATATCCCCGAAACTCTTCTCCGCTGCGTTGGAAGACGTTTTCAAGCTACTGGACTGGAAATGATACGGTATTAACATCAATGGCGAGTACATCACTCACCTTCGATTTGCCGACGATATAGTCCTTATGGCAGAATCGCTGGAGGACCTTAGTACTATGCTCGATGGCCTCAATGGTGTCTCCCAACGGATAGGTCTTAATATGAATATGGACAAAACAAAGATCATGTTTAATGTCCATGTCACACCTATGCCGGTAGTTGTTGGGAGCACTATGCTCGAAGTTGTTGACGAGTACGTTTACCTGGGACAAATAGTCCGACTAGGTAAGTCCAACTTCGACCGAGAGGTCAATCGACGGATTCAACTCGGCTGGGCAGCGTTCGGGAAATTACGACACATCTTCTCGTCAGATATACCTCAATCTCTGAAAACTAAAGTGTATAACCAGTGCGTGTTGCCAGTGATGGCTTACGGATCTGAGACGTGGTCCTTCACTGCCGGCCGTATGAGGACGCTCAAGGTCACTCAGCGATCTATAGAGAGGGCTATGCTCGGAGTTTCTCTGAGTGATAGACTCAGAAATGAGGATATCCGCAGTAAAACCAGAGTAACCGACAAAGCCCAACGGATTAGTAAGCTGAAGTGGCAATGGGCCGGCCATTTAGCTGAAGAACCGATAACCGATGGGGAAGAAAGGTTCTCGAGTGGCAGCCTCGTACCGGTGGGCGTAGTGTAGGACGACCCCCCACTGGATGGAGTTCAGGAAGTCGATCGATGCAGGTGGCTCAGGACCGTGCTTTGTGGCATTACTTGGGGGAGGCCTATGTTTAGCAGTGGACTCGTGAAGGGCTGTAATGCTGATGATGATGATGACAAAATAATTAGTAAATTGAGTTCTTTTTTCCCTGGCATGTGTTGCTGAGTTGTTACTGCCCTGCTGTACGATACTATCTAAAGAGGTTATTTCAGATCTTCACGTTCCATTAATCAAGTGATGGTCGTCGTAATCTTCATGGTCTACACAAGTAGTAGTCATATAATTGCTTGACTTTTTTCTCAACCAATTATGTAGAGAGTAAGCTGCATACACAATGTGATCCACAGTATGTAACTTAGTTGAAATAGCTTTTTCGAAAATTCTGAATCGACTTACTAATATTCCAAAAGCGTTTTCTACAATGCGTCTAGCACGGGGCAGCCCGTAATTAAATATTTTTGGTCAAAAGTTAAATTAGCCCCAGGATATGGTTTCATTAAGTATGTTTTTAGTGGAAATGCTGCATCAGCCACAATCCATCTTCTGGAATAAAACTGCCATTTTCTAATTCAGTAAAAATGGAACAGTTTTTGAAAATACCACCATCCGAAGCGCTTTCATTTGCGCCCACATTGATATACGTAAAACAGTAACTTTGATCCGCATCCACAGTACCAAGATATAGAATATACGAAATACACACAAATTAATGACTGGCAAAAACATATAAATAAAGATAAAAATGCACTACATATAATACATATAAACATATGTTCACTGAGGAAACGTTTTGACCAATTAATAGCACTCATAAAAAATTGCATAGACAGCATAGACGTTATTTGTCTAACAGAAGTTAATGTAAAAAACGACGAGTTAAATTTATACAACATAGAAGGATATAACTTATACTCAAGGACTAGAGAAAACAAAAGAGGTGGTATAGTGATTTATATCAAAGAAAATATTTCTTTTCAAATACATAGTACAAGTAGTAGCCATTGTGAAATGATACACGGCATGCTGAAAGTACGAAACTACGATCTTGATATTATAGTGATATATAGACCGCCTCACACAAACAAACAACTGTTTGTAAAAGAACTGGAACGAGTAATTCAACGAGTGCCGATTAGTCGGGATATAATCATGTTCGGTGATTACAATATTGATATTTTGGAAGATAAATTGGACCATATCGCCTGTAGTTATCTTAATATGTTATCATCACGAGGATTACAGTGTGGAATTCAAGACATAACCCGCGAGGCAGTGAGTGCGAAGCGACGGACGGCCACTTGCATCGATCATGTGTTCGTTAGAACTGAGAGCGCGTCAGAGGTGCAAGCGTATTTACTTACGAGTCCATTAGCTGATCATTACCTAACGGGACTCACCGCTGTTATAGGTAAGCGTATGCCGCAAAATGTATGCAAAACAAGTTTGAATAACAAAGCGATTGAGAAGAAGTTAGGTGAACAATATTGGAATGAGCTTTTAAATTATGATGACCCTATCAGTTTATATAGTAGAATCAAAACAATTTTTTGTAATATATATGACTCAGCGCAAATAAAAATACAGTTGAAAAAAAAGGGAAAATCAACCCTGGGTTAGTAAGTCGTTATTAAATATGATTGAAATTAAAGACAGTTTGTTCAGAAAGTGGAAATCAAACCCTAGTAATAATAATTCTAGATTAGAGTATACTAGATACAGAAATAAAGTACAAAAGTTAATAAATAAAGCCAAAAACGATTATAAAAAGAAAGAAATAATTAATTGTAAGGGGGATATGCGCAAAATTTGGGGAAAAATAAACCAGTGGCTCGGGAAAAATAAAACATCAGTTGATACTATTATTGAAAGATATGTAAAAAATTAAAAATCTATGAAAACAATCTGTAATAAGTTTTGCGAAACGTTTACTGACGAAATTGATAATATTAAACACAAGTGTAACCAAACCTTTTTAAAAAGAAAAGAATACATAGACGAGTGTAACGTGAGCTTCCGATATAAAATGGTTATCAGCTGATGATGTGATAAAAGTTATAGACAAACTAAGCTGCAACAAGTCATCGGGGTCAGATCGAATTAGAGTTCAGGATTTAAAATTTATTAAAAAAGTCATTAGTCCTATTATAGCGAATTTTATTAATATGTGTATTAAAAAAAGTGTTTACCCAGAAGAACTAAAAAAAGCGATAATCAGACCTGTCTATAAGCAGGGATCGCATCAAGAATACACAAACTATAGACACATCGCCATACTTAATGTAATCAATAAAATTACCGAAAAAATTGTTGTCAAACAAGAATTCTTAGAAAATAATGATGTTATTACAGATTTACAATATGGATTTAGGCCAAAAAGAAGCACAGACATGGCTTTAGTTAAATTTACAGACGACGTGAATAACGCTCTTAATGACCAAAACCTAGTAGGTGTTATTTTTATCGATTTTAAAACAGCTTTTGACACACTGGACCACGATGGCTTGTTGACAAACTTATGGTTCCGCAACTATTTAAAGGACAGAACGTTAGAAGTCTAGAAACTAGTAGTGACCTTGGTAAAATCAAATATGGAGTCCCAACCGGCTCAGTATTCGGTCCAGTAGGGTACATCATTCATGTAAATGGAATGAGTAAAGTAAAACGATCATGTGAAATGTATATGTATGCTGATGACACTTGCCTAATGTACTCGTACAAAGATCCAAAGACGATACAAATAGTTATGCAAAAAGACTTAGACAACATTGTTAAATGGGCGCATGATAATGGTATTATAATTAATATAAGCAAAACTAAATTTATGTTAATATCTTCGCCATACAATCGACAAAAGCATGCCGACATTGTAATTAAAGGGCATACCTACGATTGTTTCCACAGAAATAACAATGTAAATAACTGTAAATGTCTGAAGTTAGAACAAGTCTCATGCTACAAATACCTAGGACTAACTATAGATACCAGTTTTGTATGGAGTATACATGTTCAGCAAATCTGTAACAAATTACGTAGTGTATTGGGTAAATTGTACCACCTGAAATTTAGGCTAGGCAGAAGTATGTTACATATGCTGTACTATGCGCTTGCGGATACAACTATAGATTACGGGTTGGGTAGCTATGGACTTACGTTCCCAGTGTATTTAAATAAAATCAAAGAACTACAAACAAGATTGTTAAAGATACTAGTAGATAATAAAGTGAAAAGTGCGTGTAATAAAGAATATAATAAACTTTTCAAAATTTGTAAAATTGTACCTGTAGACAAAAAAGTGAAAATAAAGTTGATAATGGAACAGTATAATAAAAATGAGTTTAAAGTAGAAAGAGAACATGGCTACCTAACTCGTCAATCCACTAGAAAAGGAAAATATGTAGTACCTAAAATTAAAAATTACTTCGGTATGCGCACGATTATATATCCCACAATTACATAACGAGCTGCCGCCGGATTTGCTTAGTAAAGTAATCTCAAAAAATCATTTAAAAAATATCCTAAGAAAACATTATCTATCATTGTGTCCATAAAGGTACGCCACAGGCCACGAGTAACGTACTGTTAAAACTAGCAGTCTATATGCGATGTGTGCTGTTTGAGTATGTGTTGAATTAGTGTATATGTGTATATACAGTATGTATATAAAAAAAAAAAAAAAAAATAATGAACCAATTTTAATATTTGGCTGATGTGGACCTCATAACAAACTTTGTACTAAATATGTATAGATAAAATAATAAAATAGATTTTGGGAGATATTAGTATATGTATAAGAAATTATACTTCAGATTATATGTATAAACATAAGCATGTAAGACGAGAACTACTGCCGACAAACTGTAATGCAGTTTGGCAGATAAAAATGTTAAAAACGTTTATTGTATAATAGGAAGAAAATAAATTAAAAAAAAAGTAATCATGGTCAACAAGAGCCATCAATACTATGCTGTTTTCTTTTTTCATAATTAAAGTTCGTACTTCCATATTCATAGGAGCCAGTAATTTTTATATGTTTTCCGTCTAACGCTCCGTAGCACAAAGGAAAATTCCACTTATTCCGAAAGCCTTCCTCGACTTGTTTCCATTGTTCCTCACTGGTTATCTGCAAAAATAAAGTAAAAATATTTTATTTTCAGGAAAATACTGATGATGCTCAAAATAAAGAAAATACTGACAATACTCATACTAGTGACCAATGTGGGAACCCTACCCATACAAACCCAGAACCAAGTCTATCAGAACCGCGAAAGAAAAGAAGTAAAATTTCACAGCTGTCTACAATAGTCAGTAGCATGAAAGATATGCAATACGATTTATCCAAATCAGAAACAGTGGAAGATTAATTCGACATCTTCGGGAAACACATTGCGAAGCAATTAAGAACCCTTTCTTCAGTACAGGCTATCCTAGGCCAAGATGAAATTCAGAGTGTGATAACAAAATGTCGACTACACGATTTGAAATACGGAAATATGACAGTGAATAGTCCTAAATATTCTGCAAACACACATGCCAGTCACAATTCGTCAAGACCAAGTAACAATTATGCGCCAAGACCAAGTACGAGTAGTAGTACTTATATGTCATTAAATAGTCCAGCGTCTGTTGATACACAAACCACTGAGGACTCGTTAAATGTAGTAAGCGATGACCCAGAATACTATGTACTATATACAATCATGAATGCTTTCAATAATGCTTAATCGTCATAGATACGATACTTAATAAAAAATATTACCTTGATGTGGTCTTTTAATGCCCTTTTTATTTCTTGACAGACTTCTGATATAATTTTTGATATAGTTGGTTTTGGCAATCGAAACATACGACTGAGGCTTCTGTAACTATCTCCAGTAGTTAAAAAAGAAAGAGTGACTTCTAATTTTATTTTTGCGGGTATAGCATATCTGAACAACGAATTTTTACGCAGGATATTAATCGAAACTAATAATAACAGTTCTTCAAAGTTTTCTGCTGTCATTTTCAGTAAAGTAAAAGTAAAGTTACAGCCTATATACGTCCCACTGCTGAGCACAGGCCTCCTCTCATTTCTGAGAGGGTTTTAGGGCAAGGAAGTGTCCACCGCGCTGCCCCAATGCGTGTCGGCGAACTTCACATGTCTTCAAAATATATTTTTTTCTTATTTCACTGACATGCAGGTTTCCTCACGATGATTTCCTTCACCGCCGAGCACGTGGTAAATCAGCACTTAAAATTGTAATTAACAGTTTCATTGGTGCCGGCGGGGATCGAACCCGGTTTGCTCGCGTACTGTGAAATTTACAGGGAGCGCTAACCATCTGAGCTACCACAGCTCTTTTCAGTGCCAGTCTATATTCATTGGGATCTTCTACCTTCAGTTGTTGCAAAAGCATTACTGACCCTGCTTTTTGATCTCTTTCGCTGATCCAATTTCTCACCCAAATCCGTTCCTTTTTTATATTTCCTTATCAACCTCATTAATAACTTCTTGTAGCAAGAGTGATTAAGCACGTTTGAAACATTTTCGAAACTGATCTCTTCTTGAAATCATTGTCACTGTAGTGTTCACACTTCAACGGCTTCTAAATAACTGGAATAATGTAGACGTTACAGATCCAGTCCAGCGCTGGACTGGAATCTCGCTATATGACTGGACTGGAATAATGTAAACCGGCCATATTGGTTGTTCTAAGATTCTTGTCTGATGCGTAGTTAGTACTTTTAGTAGTCTGTGCAGTCGATGTATTGGTAGAGGAGGATCCATTCCTTGGCCTGCAAGAAGTTTTGAGTCGATGCATGATACAAGCGTCTTGGAATATTACGTTTGGGGTCATATGAAATCGTTAGTTTACGATGTCTCTCTTGTACCATTGATTGAGGAGCTGAGGCAGCGAACTATCAGTGCGGCAAATAAAATTTAGACAACTTTAACAAGTAAAATATCAAAAACGGAATTAAGAAAAAGAATGCGTTTTTGTGTATGGAACAGAGGGAACCATGTTGAGCATGAATTATAAAAAAATAATTTGCATTCCAGGGTGAGGCCTTTGCCCGGCAGTGGGATGTGACCAGCTAACTAAGTTTTATCTGCATTAACTGATAAACTATTATCCCTATACCAGTTATTTATGGTGATTAGGGCTTAAATCAAATCAAATGAGTTTATTTTGTGAACATAGGTTATTTTACAGATCTCAATATATACGAGGGTTGATCCAAAAGTAATGATAATGAAAATAAAACACGGTAATTAAAGTTAAAATAATAATTTATTTTTTCTACATACCTAACAAATCAATACATTTAGTCCACCTTTTTTCTAAACCCAGGATTACCTTTGAAAAAAATTCTTTATCTTGACGCTCCCAAAACGCTTCAACAGCGGCCATTACTTCGCTATCGTCTTCGAATTTCTTGCCTCGAAGGAGTTCCTTGAGCCGAGAAAAGAGGTAGAAGTCACTAGGAGCTAGATCTGGCGAATAGGGAGCGTGTTCGAGTAGTTCGAATCCCGTTTCTTGAATGGCAGCCATCGCAACTGCGGCTTTGTGAGCCGGTGCGTTGTCTTGGTGAAACAGCACTCCAGCTCGCAGTTTGCCGCGTCTTTTTTCCTTAATGGCCTCCCGTAATCTTCTTATTTGGTCTGCGTAGTAAGAGCCCGTAATAGTGGATCCCTTTTCCAAATATTCCACCATAATTATGCCTTGAGCGTCCCAAAAAATAGATGCCATAACCTTTCCCGCCGAACTTGAAACTTTGAATTTCTTTGGCGTCGGTGAGGAGGCTCGCGTCCAAGTCATCGATTGTTGTTTCATTTCAGGATCAAAATGGTGGATCCAGGTCTCTTCCATAGTCACAAAACGGAACAAATAATTTTCTTGATCTGCTTGGAACTTTTCGAGATTGACCCTCGAAATGTCAACTCGATTTTTCTTTTGCTCGTCGGTTAACATTCTGGGTACCCAACGCGCAGAAATCTTTTTCATATGGAACTCGGTCGCAAGGATTCTTTGAACGCTGCCATATGAGATCCCTGTGACCTCAGCTACATACCTGATGGTCACTCTTCGATCTGCCAACACAACGTCGTCGAATTTTTTCACGTTGTCTTCAGTGAGGGACGTGGATGGGCGTCTTCCGCGATGTTCATCTTCAGTGGATGTTCTGCCTAGTTTAAACTTCTTGGCCCAGCGTGCAACTGTAGAATATGGAGGAGTAGAGTCCCCCAATGTTTCCACTAAGTCACTGTGTATGTCTTTTAAAGACATTTTTTTCAAACAGAGGTACTTGATGACAGCTCTAATTTCGTTTTTCTCCATGTTGATGTTATCTCTTTGACAGTTCGTATTCAAATGAATGTATCTCGCGTAAATCGTGATCTATTTATATGATTTTTTTAGGCTGACGTAGTGAGTATATAAGCAAGCAAAAAAAAATTTTTTTTGGATTTTTATGCGGACCTGAAGTAACCGATTATCGTTACTTTTGGATCACCCCTCGTACATAGTAAAATACAAGGTAGGTTCTCTATGTCTACAAAATTGTATACAAAATATAAAAATAATAATCGCTTAACATTTTTTTCTCTTCTAACGTCAGTTCTAATTTACATAATTAAATAATGTATTAATAATAAGAAAATTTTAAAGATAATAAAGGTATAGTACAATATAGCATATAATAATTGTCATCATATTGTCTAATTGTCATCTAGTATTAATTGGCACATGTCATGATAGGTATGTATTAAATGTAGTATTTTAATGTTAAAATGTGTCGTTAAGGAATTCATCTAAAGAATAATATGCTTTTCATTTAGTAGATAAAAAAGTTAACGTTTATAAATATTAATGTTTTCACAATCTCTAATGTACTTAGGTATTTTGTTATATAGTTTTGTTGCCATTGCATATATACTCTTTTGTAATAAAACAGTTGTACTTGGTACTAAATGAAGCTTATCTGAGCGACGTTGACTTTCTACGAATTTGTACATGTAATATTACGTTTTAAAAAAATGCTTGTTTCATAAATGTATAATGAGGTGAATGTTAGAATTTTTAATTTTTGAAAATGCGGCTTACACGTGTTGGTGCTTTTTAAACTACAGATCGCACGTAGATATTTTTTTTGTTCAATGAATACTTCGCGAATATTGGGTGCATTGCCCCAAAATATAACGCCATATCTCAGGATTGAGGCGACATAGCCATGGTATGCTGCTAATAGTGTTCTCTGGTTTGCAATTTTTCCCAACATATAAAGAACGTATGCAAATTGGTGCAATTTTTACAAATATAATCAATTTGAATTTTCCACGACATATCATTGTCTATAAGTAGCCCCAAAAATGTTTTAACCTTTGTTTCTTTTTCTTCTTGACCCATATATTTAATGTGTAGATTTATTGAGGTGCTTTTTTATTTGAAATGTCATTATTTTCGTTTTGTCCAGATTAATTTTTATTTTGTTTTCTTTCAACCAGTCAATAATTGATATAAGGCTCTTTGTATGATTGACGATAAAGTACTTTGGCAAAAGCCCCTCGCAATGATCACAAGGTCATCAGCATAACCCAGTTTGTCAATGCAAGAAGTGGTGACAAAACACCTCCTTGTGGGCAGCCTCTTGTAGTTGCAATATATTGTCATAGAGATAGACAGATATATAAATGAACCGCTTATTCAAAGAAATGATGATCCATTAATGTGGTATGATAACCATAAATATATTTATCCAAGATTGTATACATTAATGCGGCGTAGATTGTGTATTATGGCCTGCAGCTGTAATTTATAACACAGTCTAAGTTATTTTTAATTACATAATTCAATGTTTTGATGAAAGATGTAATTAGACGATTTTGTCTTTACATGTACGATAATACCTCTGTAAACTTTGTAACAAAGAAAACTAACAATACGTAGACGATTTTAGAATATTATGCACGCCAAATTTTTCAGTGTTTTTTTTTCTTTTTGTTATTTGACATTCTGATGGAACTCGTTAATTAAAAATATTAAAATTTATGATATTTCCTTCTGTTATTTTCTAATGTAGACAGACAGTTCTAGTTTGAGTGTTGATAATGAATGCTTGCTATCATTGATAAAAAAAATTTGATTACAGCCAATACTTTTATTGATGAATTTTTAAAACGCCTTACCTCGATATATTAAAAAAAAACTTAATTTATTTTTTTTTTCAAAAATTATTCACTTTTCTCTGGGACTTTATGGTCTAGTTCATCAGTAATACCCTCCCCTACAACCTCCTAGCAGGAATAGGTCAAATAATCAGTAAGCCTGTGGATGCCTGAAACTGACATCTGCCGGAAAATCACGACAGTCTTGTTCACATATTT